TCGCATCTTTGCCTTATATCTTCTGCTCTCCTTTGGCCGTCCTTGCCAATCAGTGCTTCCTCGTCAGCGTTCTGATTATTGATCAAGGATGCAACGGCCGAGTTCTATAATTGCTTGCACAATTCCAGCCTTGCGCTTTTCTTTTCTCTTTTACAATATATTCTTTCTAAATTCATAAATATAAATTAACATTTCTTATAATTCTTTATATGTACTACTTTTGGCACTTGCGCAATGGCAACATCCCTCCCCCTTTAGAAAAAGGAAATAAGAAATCGAATATCTTAAATATTATAATACACTGTATTAGCATTATGTTTCCCGATTTTACACGTATTATACAATCATTTCTTACATTTTATACTTATTCAATATAGCATATCGTCATTGGTGCGAAATTGTATTCTTGTACTTGGTCTTTCCTGATGGCTGTTATTTCTTGGTTTATGCATTAGTTTATTTTTTGTTATCCAGAAAGCTACATCGATTACACTATTAATATAACTAATATGCTTAATCCTACGGGATAAATAAAATATTTAGTAGTGAATATACTCTTGTTACTTTCTAGATATTTATCTATTTCGTCTATATTTAGACTTAGTTTGGTTAATTCTTTGGGATCTTTTATTATTTTCTTCAATGGAGTACACATTGGGAGGTCTAACGTATTCTCTTATTCAATATTTAAGGTAAGATTGAACTCGGGTAAATAAATGTGAATATACCGCGTCTCTAATTGTGATTTTGTCCTCAAGATAATATCTGGTGTCGTTAGTTTACAATTTTCTTTTAGTTTAATTTTGTCTGTTGTGCTTATTTTGATTTTTTCTTCTAATCCATCATTATAAGTAATGGTATATTCTTGATTTTTTATGACTGTGAAACAACCTGACTCTGCGCGGACGTAGCTCGTCGGTCACGGGCTGCGGCCAGGGTCGCAAAGAGGCTCGGCCAGGAGGAGAGAGACAAGGCGGTAATATCGCAATAAAATACGACTCGGATACGTATAAAAGAAATATGTGTATTTGCGTCTTTAAGTACAATATGTGTGTGTGTATATGTATGTGTATGTGTGTCGTGTACAAAGCGGTTTCGGTGTGAGTGTACGGCGTATGTGTGTCGGGCACGATTCGGCGTGCGAGTCGTGGTCGCGTGCTTCGCTCGGTGACGCGCGGTACGCGGGACGCGGGCTTACACCGGAACACGTGTGATGCGCGATACGCGTCGCAAACGCGAGGAACGATACGTCGTCCCGAAAGGTGCGCTTTCCGCGTGCAAGCGTGATACGGCACGACTTCGACTGTCGGAAGCGTCCGACGGAGGCGGGCAAATGCCTACCCCCTGGTTCTTGTCGAAGCCGGTCACGTATCACGGATGGACGGATCTCTCTGCTCGGTCGCCTCGAGCAAGGCTCTCGGAGCGGTCGCTGCAACTGGTCGGGAACGGCCGACAGAGGCAGGGCGAGCCCTACCGCCGCGGTGCAGCGAGACGGTTCGAGGAGCCTGCTAGGAGCGGTGAGTCGGAGAGCGGAGCTGAGTGCAATAACTGACCGGTAAATTCCGGTAGAGGCAGGGAACACCCTTACCGCCGCGGTATTGCTTTGGAGATCGGAGTTAGGAATCGGTCGGTGCGAGGAAACGGATCAGGAGCAAAAAGCCAGGATTCTTCTCTCGCCGGTGCTTTTATACTAATTGTTGCTCCCGCTCGTATTGTTCCGGAATCATTCGGTGACTCTCGGCGGGGAACAATACGAGCGAGAGCTGCGGCGCTCGGCGTCGTTCGGCGACGTTCGGTTTCGCGGACTTGCGAGCTCGCGCGGCCTGAAATTATGCTTGCGTTTAAAATCGTCGAGCGCACCGCGCTCTCATCGCGTACGGTGACCGGGGGTCACCGTAGCGGCATCCGGCGAGTTGGCATTGCCGGGGACGATGCAGTTATTAGGGGTGCATCGTTACAACTGAGTACAGCCACGTTTTATCCTCCGTTGGCGTGATCATAATGTAGTTACCACTTGCGAGGACACGTCCGTAATTCCGGAGTTGCCTTGGCATGTTTGCAAAGATTTGCACTTCGCATGGTGCATCTGATTTTGTATATGGTATACAGGAAAATTTTTCTCACACGTATCGGGTGTTTCAGACCACCCGTTTCACCCTTTTATCTTCGCAGTATAAGGTCCAATCGAAAAAGTGTTCAGACAAAAGTTGTAGGGTTTCTAAAGACCTATTTACTGACGCTATGAGTTTGATCTTGGGTGGCATCACCAAGGTCAGGTCAAGATCACATCGACTTTTTAAAAATGGAACCCCTTATCTTTCATTACATTTTCTAGTAGCTTATCTCGAGAGCTTTTCAAAACACTATAATAAAATATTTTTTCATTGAATATTTTTCACGATGCTGTGATTTTGACAAATGCTGTGATTTTTTTCAAGTCTCTACGCGTATGCGTACGTTCTGACTGCTAAATAGTTTATTAATGTTATATAATTTTTTTTATTAACAATGAGGGCCATTCCTGTGTAAATTATTATAAATTTTATATAGATTAACCTATTTTCTACTACCAGAAATGTGTGACTTGCTTGCAATCGTTTTTTAATGAATTTTATTAATTTTTAATCTTTGGGGCCCCAGCACCCTATTCGCTCCTTGTTGCCGGCGTTCTGGCTACTAAGTCTGGCTGCCAGCTTCAGCTTCGTGCATCCAACGATTCGTTGCTAGGCAATGCGCGGCAAGAGAGGAACAGTGGGCGTCGCCAAAGAAATCGAGCAGAAATGTGCAACTAAATCTCAGGTCTGACTTATATATATAAAGTAAGATTTTTGGCAGTTTCCCTTATCCTTGCAACAAATGTTGGTATTCTTTATAATTCTGCCAAATAAAATATTACATCTATTAAAAATTTCTGTTTATTTATTTAGGAATTTTACACCTTTAACATATTATTATGTATAGAGCACAGTCGATAAGTAGATAGGTGGCCCCTATCTCGCCATATAGTTTAGTTTCTTTCTTTGTATACGTTGGCATCATCGTCGTGTCGACTACAAGACTTACTGTTACTGTTACGATTATTAAAATAAACAGCTCACGATATATCACGGTTACATCTCCTCTCGATTAATGAGCGTACCCTTGTCAATAGCCTTCGATCCTTGTCGGTAACAACTAAAGATACAATAGTGGTGTCAGAAGTTATAGTAGTGTGAGCTCAATCCTGGCTCAAAATACGCGGAAGATCGAGAGTGTACAGGTTAGAAAAAAACGAAATCAGTAGAGACAATGGAAGTGCCACCGGAATTGATTCAGGCCATGACATCCATACTCGCGAATGCGATCCAAACGTCGGCGACACAGGCAGCAGCTGCAAATGCCTCATCGGATGCAACGAGGACGTCGGTGCGACCGAGACCGCCGCAATTCGCAATGTCGGAATATCGATCAACGGAATCAACAACAGTTGCTGATTATTTCAAACGTTTTGACTGGGCGCTTCAGCTAAGTACAATACCAATAGAACAGTTCGCAAATTTTGCACGCGTGCACATGGGCGCAGAGCTAAATAACGCACTCAAATTCTTGGTCAGCCCGCGTCTACCCGAACAATTAGAATACAATGACATCAAAGAGACCCTTATCAGTCATTTTGATCGCGTTAAGAACAAGTATGCGTAAAGCGTTAAATTCCGCCAAATATCTCAACAAAAAGGCGATCGCCAATTTTACCTTGCGCCTTCGACAAGGGGCGGTCCATTGTGATTACGGTGTCTTTCTCGATAGAATGCTCATCGAGCAAATGCTCCATGGACTACAATCGCGCGAAATGTGCGACGAAATAATTGCGAAGAAACCCATTACATTTACTGAAGCGTACGAAATCGCGCATACGTTAGAGTCAACACACCATACAGCAGATGAGGTTAAGAGCGGTACGCCGTCAAATGCAGAATCGACTAATTTGCTAAGATGTGCATCACAACTCCGAACGAGAAAAGCTAAAGAATCTTTTCGTTGTAGATTATCATCAAGACACAGATCACGACAGCGCACACAGAGTTCTACGCGCAATGATACGAGACCAAGTCGGAACACGCATGCCTGTAACGGATGTGGAGGCTCACATCCGCGCAAAGATTGTAAGTTCCGAGACGCAGAGTGCCACAAGTGCAAGAAGAAAGGGCACATTGCGAAAGTGTGCAAATCAAGAGAGCAAACCACAGATCAGGTAGCAACGACAGAACAACCAGCTGAAAAAATAGATGTAATACAGCGTCTAAATAGCCTCAACCAGAATAATACTATCAATACGGTCGGACGGCAATTTATAACAGTACTTATCGAGGAACGTAACCTCCAAATGGAATTGGACAGCGGTGCACCATGTGGAATTATCAGCAAGGCCAAGCTACAAGACATCAGACTGCACCAAACGCTTAATGACACGGACCGACAATTCGTGAGTTACACGCATCATCGTCTTAAATGTATAGGCTACATTCCAGTTAACGTAACACTAGGAAACACCACGAGGAAACTAAATCTGTACGTGGTCGATGGCGATTACGATACGCTCTTCGGGAGAGAGTGGATTGCCCAATTTGCTCATGAGATCGACTTTAGAAAACTATTCACAACCCCAGAAAAGTTGAATAGTCTTATTAAGCCTACGACACAACCGCTGACAGCAGACGAAACCAATCGCCTCAATGCTTTATTGCAGCAATATGACAACGTATTTAACGAACATCCCGGGAAACTGATTGGTCCGCCAATATCAGTTCATCTCAAGCCGAATGCGACACCAGTATTTGCTCGAGCTCGTGACATACCTTTAGCCTTACGCGAAGCTTACGCTAAGGAAATAGACAACAAACTCGCCTCAGGTTTCTACAAACGAGTCGAACATTCGGAATGGGCTTCGACTACTCACGTGGTTAAAAAAGAACGGAAAAATGAGAATAACGGGCAATTATAAGCCAACCCTAGATCCACGAATGATCATCGACGAACATCCAATCCCGAAGGCCGAACATATTTTTCACCGCATGAAGGGGTCTACATTATTCTGTCACTTAGACATAACAGACGCATATACACATCTAGTAGTGGATAAAGAATTTAGTCACGCGCTAACGTTGAACACACCTACGCACGGATTAATCAGACCAACGCGTGAGGTGTATGGCGCAGCAAATATCCCAGCAATTTGGCAACGGCGTATGGAAACAGTATTACAAGATATTCCTAATACCCTCAATTTTTTCGATGATATCTTGGTATTCGCAGATAATTTCACGGATCTCCTATCAACGCTAAACACCCTCCTGGAACGGCTCCGGACACAAGGACTTCGACTCAACAGAAATAAATGCAAGTTCGCAGTAGCAACCGTAGAATTTTTGGGACATAGAATAGATGCTCAGGGACTTCATAAATCGAATCAACATATAGAAGCAATACGCGACGTACCCAAACCATCGACACGAGATCAACTACAATTATTATTAGGAAAGGCTACATATTATAGTTCATTTATCCCTGACTTAGCAACCAGAGCAAAACCGTTAAAAGAGATGCTGCACAACGACCCATTCACATGGACATCAACTGCGGAAACAGCTTATAAGGAAATAAAAGATTTCTTGATTTCACCGCAGGTTTTGATAGCGTATGATCCAAAACTTCCGTTATTACTAGCGACAGACGCCAGTAAAGTAGGATTGGGCGCAGTCTTATCACATCGCCTCAACAATGGAGAGGACCGACCAATTGCCTACGCAAGTCGCACGCTCAGCAGCACAGAACAAAAATATCCGCAGATTGACAAAGAAGCATTAGCCATAGTCTGGACTATACGCAAATTTTTCCACTATCTTTATGCACGACATTTTATATTAATCACGGACCATAAACCACTGACACAAATCCTGCACCCGGAAAAATCGCTTCCAGTATTGTGTATCAGTCGCATGGCAAACTACGCAGACTATTTATCACATTTCAATTACAATATTGAATTCAGAACAACGAAGGAGAATGTAAACGCTGACTACTGCTCCAGAGCACCAGTTTCTATACAGAGGAAATTAACGAACAAAGAAGAAGGAGAAGAAGCAGAGCAATTCGATGACTTTGATTATTTCATTTTGAACCAAGTAAGACAACTTCCAATCCGAGCAGAGCAGATATCACGCGAAACACGGAAGGACCCGCATCTTGGGAAAATTGTGCAAGCTCTACAATCAGGCCATAACCTCACAAGCGCAGGATACAAAGCCCCAGAGGCAAATTATACACTGGCCGCCAATTGCCTATTGTTCGAACATAGAGTAGTGGTGCCATCCTCACTTCGTCAACCGATCCTAGAGGACCTACACGCAGCCCACCTGGGCATTGTAAAAATGAAGGGAATGGCACGTTCATTCGTTTACTGGCCCGGTATCGATGCAGATATCGAGCGAGTGGCAAAAGCATGTACTCAGTGCGCCGAACATGCACGGGCTCCTCCTCAGATGCGAAACCACCATTGGGAATATCCAAGAGGACCCTGGGAGCGTATTCACGTCGATTACGCAGGACCGGTAGCAGGAGTCATGTTACTCATAATCGTTGATGCGTACAGTAAATGGATGGAAGTTAAACCGACGAATTCCACCACGAGCACAGCAACAATAGCGATCCTTGATGAGCTGTTCACAGCATATGGGGCCCCCATCACAATAGTGTCGGATAACGGTACCCCATTTACATCAGCCGAGTTCCAGAAGATTCTCTAAATGACCGGAGTTAAATATCACAAGCGGATAGCCCCATATCACCCGTCAACAAATGGACAGGCTGAGCGTTATGTTCAGACGAAGGATAAACTAAAAAGAATGGCAACTACCCCAAGCACTATTCGACAAGATTTGAATGAATTCCTTCGACAGTATCGGAAGGCCCCTCATTCCACTACGGGGCAATCTCCGGCCCAGCTGTTTCTAGGAAGGAATCTGCGCACCCGCCTAGACCTTGTTCGACCGCAAGACACACACGAAAGAATTTTTAGAAAAGAGTTTTTAGAAAAACAACAAGTGGAGTTCAAACCGCCTTCGCGTATTTTAAAAAAAATGCAAAAGGTTTATTTCATTTCAGGAAATCCTCGAATGGAGAAATGGATACCTGGCACGATTGTCACTCGGCTAGGAAACCTCCATTACTAGATCGATTACCAGGGGAAACGGTTCAAGCGTCATCTTGACCAAATACGTGCCTTCCAAGGGCCAGACCTGCAAGCTGATTTAGATCCCCCGCCGACTCCGGAAAAAGTACCGGAACAACCCCGACGTATTCGATTCTACGAGACAGGGCCACGCAATGAACCCTCAGCACCTAGAGAAGTACCACCGCCACATCATCCTCCAGAGGTTCCAACGCCTCCTGCGACACCACCCGGACATCATCCGCCAGAGCAGATCAGAGTTGAAATACCGCGACGATCTACACGCCAACGACGACAGCCCCAGCGCTATACCCCACGTTAGAGAAACACCCGAGGGATTATAACGATAGAAAAAGGGGAGGAAATATTATGTATAGAGCACAGTCGATAAGTAGATAGGTGGCGCCTATCTCGCCATATAGTTTAGTTTCTTTCTTTGTATACGTTGGCATCATCGTCGTGTCGACTACAAGACTTACTGTTACTGTTACGATTATTAAAATAAACAGCTCCCGATATATCACGGTTACATCTCCTCTCGATTACTGAGCCGTACCCTTGTCAATAGCCTTCGATCCTTGTCGGTAACAACTAAAGATACAATACATATATTTACAGTATAACACTAAATTAGATGGACAGTCTTAATTATTGTTATTATTGTTATATTATTGGTGTTTTCAGTTTGTGTAACTTCATATTATATTATAATCTCGTCACTTCTGTTATTGATTTTTTTTTACTTTGGTTTTTAATAATAAATAATAACATAAAAACAAAAAATGATATAATACTTACAGAAACGTCAAAATAGGACCTTAAAGAACCTTTATAAGTTCGACATTAGTACAGCATTGATGCTATACTCCAATGCGCATGCGCTAAAAGGGGGCTCATCTAACAACACTGCTCATACACCATATGCATCTTACTAAAGAACACTAAGGGCCAGTTCCACAAAATCGATTTAAAACCGAGCTTAGTTGAATGATCGTTAAGTTTAACGCCATGGTTAAACTTGGTTTAACTCAAATTGTACCGCGATCTACAATTTGATTTTAACTGTCAATTACGTAAACGTATAACCTGACAAAGAAACTTTCAAATATATATTGTGATTGATTAGTTATTAATGGAGGTGGAAAACCATTTCAGATGGAAAACTGTTTCAAGTTATGTGTACATAAACACAGTGCTTGAGCTTTTTCGTTCTTTCCTCTAGAAGTTTGTTGCATAAGTTTATTTCCCGAAGATTTTTATTTGATTGATTTGTATAACAAAATGTCGAAAGTAAAATCAGTTTTCAAAAAAAGAATACCCAATTTTACAATTCTTGAAAAGTTCAATGATAATAACAAATAATTAACAGGGCGTTAGGAGTCAACGCTGGATCTTGTATTGCGCAAAGCTAAATGATATCTATTAATCTATAAACATTACAATTATGTACGTTTTAATAATAACCATTTTTAGCCGTTTTCAGCAATAAAATTACTGTTTATCGCACTAACATACTGTTGAACTGCATCTCTAACAACCACAGCTGACAGTCTCAAATAATTCAATCGCAGTGGAAATGGAGAGAAACCATCTTCAACATCCTTGATGTTGTTCATCCAGTTATATAGCTGTGTGGTAGTAAGTGGAACTCAAGCTATTAAACGCAATGATACATTATATTTTATTGTATGAAGTGGTAATTTATATATGTGTATTTATCAGATGAGGGGCATTTCAAACGAGCCCGCTCATGGCAATCCGCGACCGCCAATCACACGTCCGCAGCGACTACCTACGACGAACCCCGAGCTCTCCCGAACTCCCCCTCCTTTTTTGTTCTATTCATCCACACGTTGTGTTGCCGTGCTCATCGCGTACAAATTAATTGTAACGCACATTGTTTTTCTTTGCACTAAATAAATCAGTTCTTTTGATGTGTTGCATCTCGGAGGGCGTGTTTACTTCTCGAAACATTACCGTCCATTCCTAACAGGTTATGGGCCCAAAAGGGCTCGCAGTGACGCGTACAGTAAAAATCGGCCACGGTCTCAAGACAATGTGCTAGTTAAAAAGGAAGTAGTGCACGATGAATTCCGCGAACATATTGACATTTGAATTGCTAAAACGCGATAACTATGATACGTGGAAAATACACATGGAAGCCCTCCTAATACGAAACGACGACTATGTGTGTGGTACGAACGTGAAGCCCGAGATTATCGCCAACGATGAGCCAACGCCGCCGCTATTGCCGCATGGAACAAAGGCGACAGCAAGGCCAAGTCGGACATTGTACTGTCCATTAGTGCTACGAAGCTGAAGCAAATCAAGGGATGCAATACGTCGCGAGAAGTATGGACGAAACTGGAAAGTATCTATCAGTCCAAAAGACCGGCAAGAAAGGCAACCTTGTTGAAACAGCTTACAGTATGGCGGAGGACGGCGATGTGCGCGAACATGTTGCGCAGTTCTTCGACGCGATCGACAAGCTGAAGGACATGGAAGTGCAAGTTAATCCGGACGTGTTCGCTATCGCGTTTCTTTACAGTTTGCCGTCGAGCTTCGACAACTTCCGCGTTGCCATTGAATCGCGAGACGAGTTACCCGATCCCAACGCTCTTCGAGTAAAGATCGTTGAGGCATACGACGCTCGCCGCAACGAGCACGCGTCCGCGACTATGTACGTGAAAGGCAAGCATGTGCAACAAAGGGTGCCTAACGCCAAAGTCAACAATCCCGGAAAGGACGACGTCCCACAGAAGACCAAAAAGTAAGAGTAACGTGTAATAAGTGCAAGTTGTTCGGTCATAAAGCCGTTCAGTGTCGTAACAAGGATGGGAATCCGAGTGATGCGTCCGCGAAAGCAGTCGTACACGTATCATTGTGCGCGAGCGAGGCCACGATCGCGAAATCCGCAGTTCTTGCACGCGGGTGGTGTCTGTACAGTGGTGTAACCTCGCATTTGTGCAACGACGCCAAACGCCTCTCCAATGCTGATTTATTGAGGCGCGGAAAACTGAATCTCGCGAATGAGCTTTCTACTACAAGCACCGTCGCGGGTATCGCGGCCGACGTATTCGGTTCGATCAGGAATGTAACCATTACAGACACGCTACACATACCGGACTTGCGCACAAACCTACTATCGGTTGGAAAGATTACCGAGCGAGGATACATTGTGACATTCGACGAAAACAGCGCCACGGTCTCAGACACCGACGGTAATGTGATTCTTATCGCCGATAAAACTGACGGTCTTTATTTCGTATGAGAACGCGATGAATCCGCCTATGTCGCATCTGAAGCGTCGATGACACGTAATCGCGAACCCAAGGTATCGTGGCACAGGCGACTCGGACATCTAAATATGACAGATCTTCGTGGAGCGGAACGAAACGGAACCGTGCGCGGATTAAAACGCGAGGAATTGATAGACGAGGCCGAGTGTGAAGTGTGTATCAGAGGCAAAATGTCGAAATTCTTTTCCTAAGAAATCCTCTCGCGTATCCGGTATGCTGGAACTTATTCACTCAGACGTGTGTGAGACCGATGAGAGTCGCTTTGATCGGAGGCGCTAAATACTTCGTGGAGTTCATCGACGGTTACTCACGCTGGTATGAAGTGCGCTTCCTAAAGTCAAAGGACGAGGTTTTCCGAGCTACCACGGAATATATAGCCCTTGTAAAGAACCAGCGAGACTGCAGAGTTAAGTGTCTCCAATCCGACAACGGAAGAGAGTATACAAGCACCGAGTTCGAATCTTTTCTGAAATCGCGAGGCATCACCAGACGACTCACCATCCCGTACAACAGAGCAGAATGGCGTAGTGGAGCGCAAGAATCGCTTCTGATGGAGACTGCGCGTTGCCTACTAATTCAGGCGGGACTTCCCCCACGATTCTGGGCTGAGGCAGTTAACGTAGCGAACTATATAAGAATCCGATGTCCCTCTAAATACCTCAATGGAAAGACACCTTTTGAGATGTAGACCGGAGACATTCCTGATGTTCGCCACCTACGCGACTTCGGTAGCCGCGTCTACTGTCTGAACAGAAAACCGGGAAAGAGCAAGTTGGAAACGCGATGTCGAGAAGAAGTTCTCGTCGGATTCTCGGAAGAATCCAAGGGATATCGTATGTGGCTGCCAGACAAGGATACGATTGTAGTTTCGCGCGATGTCAAGTTCTCGGTACAGCCATTCACCGGCGCAGACAAGTATCAAGACTTCGCCCCGAACAGCCCTGATTGTAACGTCGAGGAACGAAGTACCGACGATCGCGAGTTCGTCGACGTGGAACTGGATTCCTCAACCAACGAGCGACCCGACGACGCAGAAGCCTCGACTGATGACGATACGTCGGCAGCTCCTCCGACTGAGGCAAGGGCACCAGATCGCCCCAGGCTACTCAGGACAGGCCAACGTGGACGCCCCCGAAAGCTCTTTCACCACGTTCCTGAGATGACCCATTATATAGAGGAGACAGAGCTAGCGCTGCTATCCGAAGTGCCGATGAGACTCGCCTTGACAGGTCCCGACTCGGAGGAGTGGCGAGACGCTATGACTCAAGAGATTCGC